TGATAGACCGTGCGGTATTTTAAACAAGAAAGCAGACCAACGACATTCATTTCAATACTCATTTTCATCTGACTTCACAGTAAAAGCATTCCATCGATCCTTCTTGACTTCTCACTCGAATAAATTGCCCATCAACATGCACTACTACCCACTCGTCAGTCTGATCAGAAACACAGATCTCTCTTTCTTTAATGAATGTTCATATATTTTCATATCTTCATTTAGACATAGAACAATCAGAACTGTGCATTGAGAATTGGATCCAAGGTGTCCAAGAACCCAACTACCCCAATATCACAACATAAAGCTCGTGCCAATACAACTCCTATGACCGACACTGATCAACGACGAAACTTCAACGACTGGCTTACAAAAGCATGGGTGACTACTCAAAAGCCTTGAGTTATTATGAACAGACACTGGAACTGGAGTTGAAAACACTGGGACCGAACCATCCATCTGTGGCTACGACGTACGGCAGTCTTGGAATGGTTTACAGTGACATGTGTGACTACTCAAAGGCCTTGAGTTATTATGAAAAGACTCTCGAAGTTATGCGGAAATCGCTCCCGGCTACTCATCCTTCTATCAATGTGTGTGAAAGAGCAGCAGCTGACATGAGTCAGAAACTGATGAGACGTTCATTACTTCTCAAAAGCAGATGATTATTGTGAGATAATAAATCGGAAACTAGGCGGATGTCTGTAAAGTAGAGTATCGGTCATGGTTTCGTAATTCGGAAAGCATTCCCGCAACATTTAATAGTCTTAATTATTTTATTATCTCTGACTGTTTTAGTGGAGGTTCTCACAGATTTAAATCGATTAATCATGGTATCTGTTATAGCATAGTTATTATTTAGAATCACCGATACCTGTGGAACGGCGCAGTTTGTAGAAAAACGTTTATATATTTGTTGAAATAAAGGAAATTGTGACAAAAGATGAGCATTATGAAATGCCATAGACCTACACGACAAATAGTTACTGGTTATATAACTATTCTGCATCTTCAGTAATCCGCTTGAAAGTTTCATCCTTTAATTTTGACGTTTCGTGCAAACGTAGAATAAATTCCTCTGTACAAAACAATACGTTCCTCAAGTCTAGATGGCCTGATTTGATCCTAGAAAGATATGAATAACAGAAAGAGTTTCCAATCTTATCTTATATGATGCGTATAAATATTTCATTAAAATTTGGTTTAGTCTAGGTCTCCGAGACATCACTAAGAAAACCAAATCTCAGATTCTATCAATACATTTTGTAAAGGGCTATACCATGTACAGCAAACATTTCTGAATAAATTAAGACGTCACCGAGCTCTCTATGACACTCTTTCATGAGATAGCATTCAATGTACCAAGGATCTTCAAGGTATATTTTTCATGTTTTCACGTTAATTTTGTTAATTTCAGTGGTATGGGGTCTTTTCTAAATTGAATGTTGTTTTATATTAACGCATATTCATCGTAGAGAATACATAGAGTTTTAGTGAAATATTTATATGCAACATAGATCCGAATCTTGAATCAGTGTTTATAACGAAAGTTGAAAACGATGGTAAATATTTATCATATTTAAAATTATTTAAACAATTACTTAATTTAAAAATTTATTTTGGTATAGAACAAATTAATAAAACTATCAAGCGAACCATGTTCAAGTCTATTTCAATCTGATTGCCGACTAGAAACATTATTTTTTGATAAAATTTACGTACCCATCAATTCTGATATCATTCAACTATGTTTTTGTGTTAGAAAGTTAAGAATAAAAGTACATTATTTCCATGATATATATGTTCTGTTAAACAATTTATCTTCAATCGAATCTGTAAATATTGATATGGCTTATGTTCTTTGACAAAGACAGCAGCAGCCACAATAACAAGAAAAAGACGTCCAATTTAATTACGATGAAAATATTCCTTCGACATTATCAAAATTAAAACATTTTGTGTTCTACGCTGTTTTTACTGCTAGTTACGATTATTTAGAATTGTTATTGTCTCATTGTTGCTCGAATTTAGAATACTTATCATTTATATATTGCTCAATTTATTCATGGTGAACGTTTAGAAAAAAGTTATTATCAAAACTAACAAAATTGAAAGTATTCCGTTTTTGTTTTCGTATTCCAGTTGTCGATAACATATTGATAACAACAATGATGTAGTTAATTATCGATCAAATGTCAACGATGATATTTTGTTATACAGTAAATAAAACAAAGCGAAAATAATTAGTATCTATGATAATACAGTTCCATATACATTAGAATTATTATTAAATCAGAAGACTCTTCTTTTCAACAAGTACAATCAATATGTAATCGTATCAGACGTGCCCGTATTGGTAGACGCTCATTCGAATACGATGCTTTAAATGATAATAGTATAAAACTATTATTTCCTAATGCTGAACTTTCCGGATGAAGATAAACGTTCAACTGGGTTGTTTACTTTAATATTAATGGGTTTGTACGTGTCGAAATTTTCATTTGTTGATTATGAAAGAAATTAGACTTCGCTGTTAATGTTCTAAGCTTTGTTTTACAAAACCGGGAAGATTTACTACTCTAAGATTTCGTTTTTATCTTCTTAGCTTTTAGGAAAATTAGGTTGGAAACTGGAGTCATTCGTGGGAGAAAAAGAAAGAAAAGCGTTTTGGAATGTTTACTTTTTACTTTAATTTACATATTTTGAATGCATCTCGAGGCAACTTGTTCTAAAATTATATTGAATATTAATTAATATAATTTTACATTTTGTTTATTTTCTTCAGTTTGGATTACAAACAATAGCGGATATTCAAAGTAAATCCGACATATTTGAAACAAGTATCAATCAAACAAAAGACAAATGTCATCTTCTTGAAAGTTATAATCAAAAAGTAAGAATTGGAATGAACTTTGATGTAATGTTATGTTAATCAGTCTTCTTACATTTTTTAACATCAAAATTGGCGTATTGTTATTAGCAGATTGTTTCATATTTTAATCCAAGTCTTGTTTTTATTGAAGATAACAAATCGAAGTAAATCCTATTACATATTGCGAAAAGATGATCATACAATAGAAAAAGTTTAAATGTAGGAGAAAGAAAAAGGCAGACGCAAAAGTCAAAGTTAAACAGCATAGAATTTAATAGATAGTTATTAAACTTCAATAATACATCGATTGTGAAGGAAATCGCTCTGAATCTCTAATAAATTTAAAAATTTATAGAACAAAACTTTACACATCATTTTTCGATAGAGTAAGAATAGCGTTATGCCGAAGTAAGAGTTGTTATTATTAGTATGCAAAATAGTTTTGAATGAGTTAAGCAAGTTTAGTCTTTCTTATTGATTATTCTGGACAAGTTAGAAAAAAAAATGAGCTGCTGTTTTATCTTGTCAACCACATACACATGGCCAACATAACATTTTTTAATTTTTGTCTTATACCATTCTAGCACAAGAAACATATGAATTACTTTGATATCTTTATCTTTTCTTTTTCTTTTTTTTTAAGACAAGTGATGAAGAATTAGCTATTTTAAAATCGTTAGACAATCGTTGGCATGAAATATCATTGAATTCAAAACATCGTGATGCGGGTTTAAAACGTGTTAAAGGACGTTTTACTGAAATAACATTAATACAAATTGATCGTTTAAAAAAGCCATTCGTGATTTTGCTGAGAAATTTGCTCGTCAAGGATCCGGTTCAACTCACAATTCATCAGAATTAAATCAAGGTTTAAAATTAATGAAAACTTATCGTGATGAATTAAAGCGTTTAGAAATTGATAAACAAGAATTAACAAATGCTGAAAAATTATTTAATTTACCAATATCATCCTATCCAGAATTATATGTCATTCAAAAAGAAATGAAAAATTTAGAAAAATTATATACACTTTATGAACAACAACCAAAAAGCCGTGAACTATGGTCTGAAACATTATGACGTGATTTAGATGTACAAATATTATTGGATGGTATTGATAATTATATTAAAGAGTTAAAAAAAATGTCACGGTGAAATAAAAAGTATGCCATTAGCAAAAATAATTGAAATAGCAATGAAAGAATTTCGGGAATCATTACCATTAATGGCTGATTTAAAAAATGATGCATTAAGAGAAAGACATTGAAAAATGTTAATGAAAGAAACACAAATTGAATTTGATGTGAATCCGGAAAGATAATTTATTTCAAATGAATTTACAACGTTTTGATGATGTTATTCAGATATTATTATTAAATCAAGATCGAGGATATGTATTGGGCTCATGTGATGAAGTATTACCAGCATTAGATGATCATACAATAGCATTACAAGGCATGGCTGCTTCTTCATTGGACCATTTTTATCAACTGTACAACAATGGGAAAAAAGTTTATCATTAATTGCTGAAGTAAATATTATTTTACCTTTAATTCTGATTATAAATATATATATATATATATTCTGTTATTTAGGTTATCGAATTATGGCTAAATGTACAACGAAAGTGGATGTATCTTGAAAGTATTTTTGTTAGTGGTGATATTCGATCACAATTACCAGAAGAAGCGAAAAAATTTGATGAAAAAAACAAATTATTTAAATCGATTATGTTAGATACTTATCGTGATTCATCAATAAAAAAACAATGTCGTCAACCGAGTCGTTTAGCTGATTTAGAATCAATATTTGTTGGTTTAGAACGATGTCAAAAAAGTTTAAATGATTATTTAGATTCAAAACGAAATGCATTTCTAAGATTTTTTTTATTTCTGATGATGAATTATTATCAATTTTGGGCAGTTCTGAACCATCAGCTGTACAAGAACATATTATAAAAATGTTTGATAATGTAGTCAGTTTAAGATTAATGAAACAATCGGATACATTGATACAAGCACAAGCAATGATATCAGCTGAAAAAGAAGAGATGACATTTAAACAAACTGTAAATACAGAGGAACGAGTAGAAGACTGGATGACAAAAGGTAATTAATATTCAATGATTTGTCATATATTCATTTTATAATGATAATTATTCGTTTATTTAGTACTAGAAGAAATGAGACGAACAAATAAATTAATAACAAAAGAAGCTGTCTATTATTATCGTCATAGAAAATCGAGGTCTATTTTCTTTTTTAAACGTATTATCTTATATATACATCTTACTCTTATCTTATTTTTAGAGTTCAATGGATGTATGATTATATTGGTATGGTTGTCTTAGCTTCAAGTCAAATATGGTGGACATGGAAAGTCGAAGATATATTTCAAAAAGTAGCAAAAGGAAATAAAATGGGAATGAAAAACTATGTAAAACAATTACATCTTCAGTTAGAAGAAGTTGTTACTGAAGTAAGATAAGACAAAATAAAGCTACTAGAAATATAAGATAATGATTCATTGTTATTTTAGATTCGATCTCCATTATCAAATAATGATCGAAAAATTCAATACTGTTTTAATTATTGACATTCATGCCAAAGATATTGTTGACAGTTTTGTTTGTGACAGGTAAACATTGTAAACTTCTTTCTATCAACTGATAATTTACATATCTTTTATTATTATTGTTATTTTTTAGTATTTTGGATGCAAGAGAATTTGAATGGGAATCACAACTTCGTTTCTATTGGGCAAAAGATACGGATGATCTTGTTATACGAC